CTGGATTTTCTTATTCCCTGGTGGCAGACCTTTGCACCAGGGGGCTATTCCTCCTAGGTGGCTGGAAGAGCCTGTGGCAAACCTTTGAAAATGAGCAGAGGTCTGGATGATCCAGGCCCACTAAAGTCAGAGTTGATCAGGACAAGCCCCACTAACCAGCAGCCCTTTACCTGCTCGTACCTCATGTGTGTAGCCATCTCCAAAAGCCTTTATTGTAACTTCTGAGGGCTGATTTCAGATGCAGGAATCAAATGCACTGGGGATGGTGCAGGAGCCTTGAAGATGATGAAGGGGGTAAATTCCAGCAGTGCTCACAATGCCAGATGGATATTTTTTTCCAGCTCCCATATACTGGAGCTGGAGAAAACCAAGAAAAGGAGACAAAAGTTGCTCGTTGCAAGAAGACGACATGAGGCTGCTCTAGTCCCCTGAGCAGCTCTATAAATACCCCATGTACACAAATGTGGCCCCAGCTCCTGTGTCTGTCCTGCTTCCCTGGGGGGAATCCCAGGGTTAATGATAGCCCCAAGCACAACTGTGCAAACAGCCCATTATACCCAGCTCTGCACTGTCTGTCTGCTCACTCCTGCATTCAGAGATACATTTTTAATATTCCATTTGCTTAATTCAAAACTTGCTTAGTCCCTGAGTGCCCCAGCAGATACTGGGGCGTGTTTTAGTCTGGATGCTGAAGTGATGAGACTGAGGTGTTTTTTATGCATCAAAGGTGAAGGAGCTCTGCTGCATTTACTCATTGCCAGGTTTTTCTGGCAGACTGGGGTTTGCTTCCTAGTGGTGCATTTGGTTTACAGGAGGTGCTGGTGGCCAATGCAGTGGGTACCAGAGGCCAGCCAGGGTTTGGTAAATACTCAAATCTTGCCTATCCCAGGGATCACAACTGCTGCTTTCCTGTGTGTCTCAGTCTTGCCTGTTTTGCTGCACAAGCCTCCACACCCCATGCCCCAGACCTTCGGTCCCACACTGGAGCACGTGGCATTCCGGGCCCCTTTCAAGGTCCCTCTGCAGAAGAAGCCGGTTGTGGCTCTCTGTTTTCATCTGAAACCCCCCTGGAATCCTCCAGCTCCTTCTGTTTTAACAACTACTCGAGCTGCAGCTCGTGGCAGCATCTGGGAGCTGCCTCGGGGCTCCCTCCAGCGACAGCGGGAGAGCGGCACGGGCTGCCGAGCACGGGCTGCCGAGCACGGGCGTACCCGGGTACCGAGCGCTGCTGCTCCCCAAAAACCGGCCCTGGGTCCTGCGGGGGCCGGGATCTGCTGCACCAGCAGCTCCCGGCGGGATGGGCCACCCCGGGCTTCGATACCACCCCAGCAAGACCCCGGCGATAGCCGGCAGAAGGAACGCTGCGGGCTCTGCGAGTGTGGAGGGGCCATGCCGGGAGTGGGGATGGGATAAGGCCAAAGGCTGCGGGGTCTGACTCGGTGGGATGGGGCTTTGGGGACCAGCAGCACTGCGGGACAGCCTGGGGGTGGCACGGGGCTGGCGTGTGCCTCAGTAGAAGCAAATTGACCTGGGAATCTCACAGGGTAGATCAAGGTGATGTTGTACATCTGGTACCAATGTCCCATCCCAGCTGTGTTTGTGTCCCCAAAAAGTGAGAACAGCCCTGACCTGCTGCTCAGAGCTCTCTCTGAACAGCAGGAACAAGTGCTGGCAGACATGACAGTGGAGCCTTGAGCCCTTTTTTATCTAACAGTGGAATCCAAATCACTCTTTGGCGAAAAGGGAAGGTGTTTGTGTGTACACAGAGCTGCACCAGCCTGGATGGACGGGCTGAACCCCTGCATCAGTGGCACTGAGGTGCTGGGGTGGGTAAGCCAGAGGCCCCCCGCAGTGCTGGTGCACCTCAATCAAACAAAAAAGGCAAATTGGCAAGGCTCCACTGAGATCTGAAACCTTCCACACAGCCACGGAACAGCAAACTGAGAGCAAGGGACAAGTTCTCCACCCACCAACGGTCTCCAGGCACTTCCGGCCCAGCACTCAGCCTCACCAGCACCAGCAAGGGTCACACTTTCAAAGCTGACCCTGGCTCCAGATGGGTGCCTGGCAGACACTGGGGGTTCCAGGACTCTCCCAGTCCTCCCAGTAGCTTCAGCTCTTCCACCAGAGCTCAGGAGCACTGAGTACAAATTGAGCTTCTCGTGGATGTCTCTGGCATGGCTCTGCACCCTCACCTTTACCAGGGACACCTCCCAAGCAGAGTGTTCTGGGGTGGCTCCTTGAGGGTACTCATGGACACCACTAAGATCCCACTAAGAGGGCGGGAAGAGAAAATCCTGGCTCAAGTATCCCAGGCAGGCAGCTGCATCCTGGGACACTGCAGGGGCTGAGGCTCCCAGGACAAGCTGCAGCATCTTAGGTGACCATTTTGAGCAAGTTTTTATTAAAAAAAGAGTTTTATTTATTAAAAAATGTTTTTTTATAACAAGTTTTATTAAGAAAAGCAGATGGCATCGTGCTGACAGCTCTTCAGCAGAGTTAAGAAAATATTTGGGGCTTTCAGGACCCCTGCTACCTGTTGAGGACTACTCACAGTGCACAGGTGGCTCGGTGTGTGGCTGCAGTGAGAGCTGCAGGGTGTGCCCGGGGTGTGGGGGGGTCATGAGGGGCCCCTCTGGGGTCACTGGAGCTGCTGCTGTGAAGGGACTTCTGTCCCAGCAGTGACAGTCTGGGGTGCTGTCAGTGGGATCCCCAGAGTGGCATCACCAGGCAGCCTCTGGGATGATGTTCCACTGTGGCTCTGAGGGTTGCCCAGTGTGAAAGGACAAATTTGACAGACTCTCAAACTATTTATGAGAAGGATGGCTCAACAGAAAAAAAGAGAAAATGGGAAAAGTGGGAGGCAGCTCAAAATGATGATGGAATACGGTCAGCTGGGGAAAAACCCATTCTTCCAAAGAAATATTTAGTCACTATGGTGAGGTGGTTTCAGGATAAAGCCCATGGAGGGACAGAGGCAATAGCCAGCCAAGCACAAAGAGCGTGGGCAGCTCCAGGAATTTACACCACTGCAAAATGAATTACTAACAGCTGCCCAATTTACCCAAAGCTCTTGAGTAACAGTAACTCAGAGTTAGATCAGCAAGGAGCCACCCTCCTCTCCCTCCTGTCACACAGCCACTCACTGGATGTGGCATTATCAGGTGTGGGAAACTCAGCATGGGACAATAGTCCTTCCCTGGAGGTTCTGCATCCAACATGTTCCAGCTTTGCTCCTCCTGATGCCATTTAACTCCTTGGTTGGATGCTCACCCCTGGGTGTGCTCCAGTCATTACCCACCAGGGCCAGTCCCTGGGGTCCTGTGGGAACAGGAACAGCATCAAAGGGAGAAAGCAACAGCACCTTCCTGCAGATCCTGGTGTTAAAACTCCCTTTGGCGTGGGAAGGCTTAAAAGTGCAATGCTCCATGCTGCATGTGAGCACCAAAACCACAAAGGAAAGAAAGATTTCCTCCCCACTCCTCCAGCAATCACTGTCTGTCACAGAAGAACAACTGGCCCAACCCATTGCTAGGCTGGAGCTGGAATCTTCCCTAGACCACTGGTTCTACGAATTTTTGGCTTTCCTTCCCTGCTGCTTCCATTGCCTGACATGCAACACAGACAACTGATACCTGGCAGTGAGCTTCCAGTGTGTTTGCAGCGTTCTGGTTCTCAGAGACTGGGCCATTAACAGCCTGGCTGTCACCGAGCTGGACACCCTGCCGAGCTGAGGCACCGTCAGCCTGGCTGCTGCCTCTTCGCTGTCCCCACTCAACTATTAACACTCAGTTCTGGGAAATGGGACCCCTTGGACACCATGATCCCGTCTGTCCAGGGTGTTCGGGTGTCTGGGGGAAGCTGAGGGCAGCCTGGAGTATCTGAACCTCTCCCCACCCTGACATCACTCCCGCTCTGAGCATCTCCCAAGGTCCAAAGCCAACTTTTTCGTCCCCCGTGTCTCAGCCTTGCTGCTGCTCCTCTGCGATATTGGAGACCCACTAATCCTTTAGTCGGATAAACGCTCCTCGGGGGAGGAAAGTAGGGCAGACGTGCCGCGACGAGCACAGCCCGGAAAGTGAGAAACACTGAGCAGAGCGGCTTCCCAGCACTCACAGAGGGAAAGAGGGAGGCGGCAGCTTCCCCTCGTCAGGGTTTGTCCAACCACAAATCACAGGCGGCAGGGCAGGGACGGGGTCGGTGTGCACAGGTCGCCAGGACGGGGGTCCCCAGGGCAGCGGGGACACCCGGGGGCTCCCCGAGCGGCTCCGTGAGGCTGGTCCTGCATCCTGGACTGCGCTCCAGGGATGAGTTGCTGCTGTCGGGAAGGTGAAGGGTGTCCCACCGGCCCTGGGCTGTGGCCACTGCTCCGCTCGGGAAATCGCTCAAGTCGTGCCAGGGGAAAAAAAGGGGAAATGTTCCCCTTGAGCAATTGTGTCACCGCGCGGAGATGTTTTTGCCAGAACAGCCTTTTCGGCCGGTGTTTGGCAGGGAGTGGCTCCAGAGGGAAGCCCCGAGCCCCCCCCGCCTGCTGTGCTGTGCTGACCCCCGGGCCGGGCCCCCCCACAACGATATAACACCACCCCCCCCAGCGATCGGGGCTCATTCTCAATCAAACGGGGCGACCCCCCCACCGCCCAGCGACCCCCCCTTCAAACGGGGTGACCCCCATTCCTTTGCATCCCCCTCAAACGCAGTGACACCCCCGAGGACCCCCCGCCCCTCCCTCGGACAGAACCAACCCCCCGCCCCGCCCCGCCCCCCGGCCCCGCCCCCTCCCGCCCCGCCCCTGCCCTCCGCCAAGCCCCGCCCCCTCCCGCCCCAAGCCACGCCCCGTCTCGCAGGTTCCCGGCTCGGCCTCTCAAACCCCGCCCCCTCCCCAGCTGCCTTCCTTCGATTGGGCGGCGCCTCCCGCCAGTCAGCGGCGCGCCCGCCGCCCATTGGCCGCCGTTGATGGGTCTGGCGCGGCGCCCGCCTCCTGCGGGCTCTGGCGGGCGCTGATTGGCCCGCGCGGCAGCGCCCCCCCCCGGCAGGGCCGCGGTCGGTCCGGGCAGGCAGAGGGTCGGCGCCGCCATCGCCATGGGCACCCGCGACGACGAGTACGACTATCTGTTCAAAGGTACCCGCCGAGGGGCCGCGCCCGCGGCACCGGCACCGCGCGGGGCTCGCCCGGCACCGCGAGCCGTGTAGGTTCCGGGGCGGCCGCCGCGGCCTCTGTGCGCGGGGCGGCCTTGCGGGCCCCCGGCCGGGCCTGGCGGCGGGGAGCGGCGCGGGCCTGCCCGCCCCGCCCTGGGCCGGGCCGCGGGGATCCCCGGGGGAAACGGGGCCGGGGCGGTGCCCGCCGGGGTCGGGGGTGGCCGGAGATCGCCCGGTGTCGAGCCGCAGCTGAAAAAAACTTCAGCTTCGGTGGCGGCTCCTTGGCAGGGCCCCGCTGGGCGCCGGCCCCGCGAGCCTGGGAGCGCAGCGCGTTCATCTGGCTGTGCCCGGGGGGTGTTTTACACTCCTGTGGCCTGTCGGGCTCTCCAGGGCTGTGTGAGGGTTCCGTGCTGGCCCTCCGGGGGATCCCCCCGTGGGGTTTCTGTCCCGTGGGTGGCTCCCCAGCCCGGGCTCCTGCCCGTCCGGAGCCTCGGGCTGACCCTGTTCCCGGAGCATCCCCCAGCTCAGCCTGTGTGGCCCGAGGAGCAGCGCAGGTGGGTGTAACACTTCACCTTTCGGTTTCCCGGCCGGTTTTGCACCAGGTCTCTCCTATGGTAGAGTGGCTGAAACCTGATTTTCACCCCCAAGAGTTCGTTCTTGGTAAGGGCAGTCCTGATGGTGCCGTCGATGGGCGCTCAGGGGGCTGCGGGGGCCACTCTCTCCGTGACTGTTTCTCTGGAGTTTGATGTCTGGACACACCTGGACCCTCACAAGGGCAGCAGTGATTCCACTCTTCTTGTGGACCTAAGGAAAGAGCAAATCTGTGGGAAATATTTTATGGATGTCTTTGCCTGTTTGCTGTGTTTGTTTTACAGTCTTGAAGACAGTGAGGGGGGAAAAACCCCTTATTTTTTCTCCATCTATAAAGAAGGAGACCAACCTCCAAAAATATGCTAAACTGTCTAGGTCTAAAGTAATTTCCTTCTGAAGTCATTCCACTGTCTGTTTCCCAGGTGGTTTAATAGCCAGGAACTTGAAAGCCTAAAAATTTTACTCCTTTTTTTCTTCCTGTGAATAGCCAATTAGGTAGGGAAAACTGCATTTGTCTTTTAAAAATACTTGTGCTGCTTTGATATGTGGTTTTAATATTATCTGGAGCGAGACTTAACCCGAAGCCATTTGGTCAGGATCTGTGCTGGGCTGGTGCTGGCACACTTTGTAGCACTAAGTGAAAACTGGGGGAGAGAATTGTCCTTTTCTGTGCTGTCTTTTGGGAGGGGTCATTGTGTGGATGGTTTTTTAAGAAATAAATAATCAAGCCCAAAAAGAAACCCTTTCCTATCTACTCATCTTTTACTTCCTTCCTTTGAGACTTTTTGGGACTAGCCAAGAAATAATATAAATGGGACCAAGTGGGATGAGGCCTCTGCTGCAGGACCAACTCCCTTTCCTTTCCCTTCTGCGTCCTCCAATAGTGGAATTAAATGTCAAGGGCAATGGACACAATAGTGTCCAAGAGTTTGGTTGGCTTGTTGTTCAGCCCCCTCTTAGCTACACAAATGGATTTTGAAGTCAGTTCTGTCACTCACATGTAGTGGTCAGGGTTGGAAATAGTGGTGTAAGGAGGGTTTCAGTCTGGGAAAGTTTATTAATTTGAGGCTTGACCATTTCCCCTGCCACTATTTCTAAAGGAAATTTGGCTGCACTCTAATTTTAGCTTTTTTCATTTGCACCCGTTTAAGCAGTTTGCATCCTTGCGTTGTAATTTTATTCAAGATGACTGCAGTGGTGCTCCAAAGTCACAATTCTTATACTTTTATATAATGGAAGATCTGGAGCTGCTTGTACAGAAACTTCTGCCATTTAGAATGGATTACATTAATGAGCTTGATGAAATGTTTAAAAGGCAAAGAGCCCCATTTATTGTGAGTCTCTCTCATGGGAAATGCTGCCTCTAAATCAGTTTTTCGGGGTGAAAGTGGCCACGGAGTTGGTGGCAGCAGTTCCTGTGTGCAGCTGGTCCTGGTGTTCCCTGGTTCTCTCTGCCCATCAGTGAGAGCTCCAGGACTGACCATTCCAGCAGGGCTGGACGAGTGTTACTGGTTTATGGGGACCAGCACATGGGAGGTTTGGGGGCACTCTGGAAGTGTGAGTTTGGTATAGTCAAAGCAGCTCTGCTGAACTTGTACCTCTTTATCTTAATTCCAGATTTTCCTTTCTTTGATGTTTGTCCCGACAGTCAGAACTGCTTGTTTTGTTGATCACAACAAAATGCTGTTTGTTACCAAGTTGCCTGAGCCAACCTTTGGGGGAAGGAACCAAACTGTGTGTGCAGGGCTGGGCAGGGCAATGAAGCTGCTCAGGGGGTGTGACCCCAGCAAAGCCAGAGGTTCAGGGCTCTGCTTCCAGTTAATTTTGTAACCGGGATGGTGAAAAAGCAGGAACTTTTCAGGATGAGTTTTGAATGGGTTGGTCTGGAATTGAATTCATGACCTTCAAATAACTGTTAAAAATATCAGAAGGCTTGTACCTATTAAAATGTGATCTGCACATTAATTTTGCTCTTGAAGATTAACTATTATTGGTTTTTATTTTAAAAATTTAATTTTAAAAATTAAATTTGAGGTTGTGCAGATGTGTGCTGGCTCATCAAAAAGGCAGGGAAAAGCAGCGGTAGGAAAAAGAGCTTTCTTTTACCTTTGTGGGAATTCAGACTGCTCTGATTAGAGCCTCAGCCTAACAAAGGCTGTGCTTATTAAAAACAAATGCGTGTCCTATTAGTCACCAATATCTGGCAACCTTATGTACTTCAGATTTATCAGGAACTCTGCTTAGGTGGTCTCTGCTAGAGGGAGTCTCAATTTCCTTGATTGTTCAAAAGAATATATTCTTTTTTTTCCAGATTAATGAAGTGTTGTGTTTACAATTCTATCCTAAACTTGTTTATTTTCCCTTTCTTACTAACAATGTATTGCCCTGGATTTTGAATTCTGACTTTTGCTTGCTTTGTACCAGGATCCCGAGGTATGGGGGGGGTGTTGGGTGGTGGGACTGTGCTTTAGGTCTGTTTGTTGTGGGGCCTGGCCAGACATGGGAGGCAGAGTGAGGGTGGTGACTGGGTTGATGGATGGGTAACGTGGTGAACAATAACCCACCACTGGCACAGGGTGCTGGAGGAGGGAGAAATCAGGAAGGACTGAAGGACAGGATGTAAACAGGGTGCTGAGTGAGGCTTGTCTGTGTCCTTAGAGCCATCTGATGATGACTGCTGCTAGTTATTGGTTCAGATCACTTCCAAGATGAAACCAGTCTTCATCTTTCCATGAAGTGCATCTTTCCATCACCAGTGTGGCCCTAAGGGCCATTTGGGGAGTGAATTCGTCAGTTCTGGTGAGGTGTGTTTAGGGAGTATTGAGACTCTTAGCTCTCCTTTGGAACTTTCTTTTCTCCTGTGTCATGACCTCTGAATGTGAACAGGCAATGCTGTCTGGTGGCCTGTTCCCAAATTTAGAAACTTTCCCAAGATCTAAACACTTAGTCCAGTATGTTGAAGGTTGCTCAGCTCCCATAGAAAATTAAAGTTTGTGGGTTGTTTGCATGTGGGACTTTGAGCCTTGGCCTCTTTCTCCTGAAAGTGGAAACACTCATTTAATGCTCAAGATTGAGTATTAGCAAGAGGCACTTGGAGACTGTAGGGTAGAGAGAATGTTCTTTATTGAGCTGGGATCTGGTTGCCTTCCTTTAACTTCTCAAAAATGTTCTCCTACAAGCTCTGCTGGAACATGGGGCAGCCCTGTGAAGGGACCCTGTGATTAACCAGCCACAGGAGCGTGGGACCCCTGGAATTTTCTTCCTGTGACAGATGGAATTAATGACTGGGGAGCTGTTGATGAGGTTTATGCCCAAAACTGATAATTTTTAAATGCCAGAGGATGGGAGGTGACCAGAACCTGGAGGGGCAGCTGTGCTTTCTGCAGCTGCAAATTTGTGGGAAGGTAATTTCCTTCAGAAACAGTTGGAAACTTCAGGGGTTTTTCCCAGCTCATCTGGCTTGTGTGGTGGATGTTCTTACCTTTGGTTATGGTCAGGGCTTTGCTGTAGGATAGAGCCTACTCCAGCCAGCAGATCCCTGTGCAGGATGGGTGACCTTTGGCCTGTTCTTGGAACACCCCATGGAATTAGTGATGAAAAACTGTTTGTCTGGGAAATAAAGCTAACAGAATCCTAGAGTTAGAACTCGTAATGAAATCTTTTTTTGTCTATCTGTTCTCATACCCTAAAAAATGGTCCAGGCAGTTTGCCCAGGCAGTTTGAGCAGAGCTGGTTTGGGCTATCCCAGCTGGGGAGTTGTGCCTTCCATGATCCACTGGCTGCCCGTTCCTGCCTCTGTTGTGTTTTGCCTGTTCAGCTGTGCTCACACAATTGTCTGTCTGTGCTGTCAGGCAGATGAGATGCTGGGGGGGGCCCATCCAGAGCATTTCAACAATCCCCCCTGTAGCAGCAGAGCCAGGGTCCAGCAGCAGCCCCGGGAATGTGTTCCAGGGGTGGGGAGGCAGTGAGCTGGAGCAGGGCCCTGCCAGAGCTGCATCCTCAAACAATGGCCTGAGCAGAGAAAAGCTGTAATAACACTGAAAGACAAGTACAATCCTTGGCCCTGGGAGAATGCTGGTGAGCTCATTCTGGAAGTGTACGATGAGAAGATTCTTCTGTAATTGTGGAGGGATTGGGAATGTTTTTTGCCTGTGTCTGCTTTTCTCTAGGAAAAACAGATCATGTGAATGAGGGAGGTCAGCAAATCTGTGCTTTGAACTTAAGTAGGGAATATTCCCAAGGTTGAAGAAAGCTCCCAGAGACTGGCTGTCTTTTTTCCTTCTGCTTGAGCCAGGCCACTTGAATTCCAAAGCATGTGTGACAGAGTTTGTGGAGCCGAAGGGAGGGTGGCTCAGCTGCTTCAACCTTGTTCCTGTCAGTTGTTTCTTGCTCTTGTTGATAAGCCCCGAAGTAGAGGGAACCTCCTACCACAAGATGTAGCTTTTGTTTTCACAATTCCTTTCAGGAATGCTGGGCTTTGTGTGCTGAAGATCTCTCTGCACTAACATTTTTCTGTTAACATGGCAACACAGTGTGTGGAGGCAGAGCTTCTAGCTCATCTTTTACTTCTCACGCAGCCTACTAGAACTTGTTTTGCTGGATGAAGTTCTGCTTTGCTTTGTATCTTGCTTGTAGTATCAGATGTCTCCCATTTTCCCCTTTTTGTGGTGAACATATTTATGAATTAAATTGTTGAAATAAAACACCCTGTATGACTCCAGCAGGGACTGCAAATAATTGTTTACTTGGGTGTTTTGTGTTTTTAACAAAAATAGAGTAGGTTTATACTGCACAGAGGCTTTTGTTGGGCAGACAGGTGGCCTGTTGCCATGTCTGTAGTGTTTCTTAAAATGTGGCTTGCAGCCTTCCTCTGCCAAAGGTCGAGTGTCTGAGGGACATCTCTTATCTCTGCCTGCTGAGGTGGTTGGAGCCTCCAGAGCACCTTTGGCTTTGACAGTTGCTGTAGCAATTTCTCAGCTGAGCACTGAGCAGCTGCTACCTACAGAGCAGCTTGGGGTGGTTTTGGGGCTGAGGGAAGCAAGCTGTGAGTAGCAAAGTCTGAGGTGGTGTCCCTGTAACTCTCTCCTGTGTTTATGTGGCTGCACAGTTGCTGTGGGTGCCGCCTGCGCGGGGTCAGCGCCGGGGCGAGGAATTAATTGTGAAAATAATGTCTCTTCTTTCAGTTGTGTTGATTGGAGACTCTGGAGTTGGGAAGAGTAATCTCCTGTCACGCTTCACACGCAATGAGTTCAATCTGGAGAGTAAGAGCACCATTGGGGTGGAGTTTGCCACCAGGAGCATCCAGGTGGATGGGAAGACGATAAAAGCCCAGATCTGGGATACTGCGGGACAGGAGCGATACCGCGCCATTACCTCAGCGTGAGTACTCTGCCTTTGCTCAGAAGAATTCTAGCAGAGGTGTTGCAGATAAATTTATGGGTAGAGAATTAATGAAACGTATTTGGGACGTGTGGCAAGATCATTATGACAGACTCCAGGGTGAATCCCACTCGTAAGACAGCAAATACTTTTGTCGTGTTCCTTGGTTAATATAATGAAAGTAATTTTTAGATTCTCAAGTTACTGTTATAGAAACAAGTGATGGCTTAAATCAAAAGTGTGGGAGATTCTGTTGGAGTCTTGTGATGTGGTTTTTTGTCTGCCCTGGATGTGCTGTGTTCATCAGGTGGAGTGAGTGTCATTTTGGATGGAAGCTGGGTACTGTTGGCATCAAGTTTTGGTCCAGGCATAGTGGGTTACTGTAACACCTGTGGCGTGGGGTCTCTGCTGCCCCCTCAGTCTTGAGGTTGGTGGTATTTTTAGGACAGTCTGCAGCCACAAAGTCCCTTGAAATCTCAATAACTTTAAATTAGTCATAGCCCTGAAAATGAGGTCCATGCACACGCTGAATAGCCAGGAAGTAGGAAGGCAACTGTGATAGTGCTGACTCTGCAGCATCAGGCACATCCCTGGTTAGGACAGGGTGGTGAGAAGCTTTCACCTATGACACGTGGTGAATCCACAGAGTGTCTTAAGATATACCTCTGGGTGTACCTGTTTCTATGCAGGTAAAAGTATCTGGCAGAGGACAAAAAGCAAACCTTCTGGTCAGGCCTGGTTCTCCAGGGCATCTTCTGATCAGTGAGTTGATTTTTTGTTATGTTACAGACGTGTATCAGTTTCTAAAGGTAAAAACCTGTTTCTGAGTCATGCACAGATTGAGCCACTTTCATTAAACTCAAGGTAAGGGGAACTTTGTCAAGATAGGAGAAAACCAGGAGAACCTGGAGCCCATAGGGAGCAATCTATAGGGAAAGGGGTGCAGAACCAAAGCAGTGCAGAAGCAGATGTAAGTGGCAATTTCAAATTGCATCTTTTCCAGAACTGTTAGTGTGGTTTTCAGGATTTTTTTTGTGACCCTTGTATTGTTCTTTCTGCTGTAAAAACTGTTGCTGAGTCTGGTTCAACAACAACAGGCTTGGCTGCTGGGAACCAGTGCAGCTGCAGTCCTGTGATCCTGCCTCTCCTCTGTGCTGGCACGAGCTCCTGCTCCACACATGGCTCAGCCAGTTCTGCCTGCTCGGCCAGCAGGGACAAGGGAATGTTTTCTGCTGACTTGGTGCCCTGACTCAGTTCAACAACGTGTCAGACAGGTGCTGGTAGGATTGTGTGGAAGAGAGATATGGGCATTATAGGATTGATGACACAGTTTGGCTTGTGCAGTGCTGAGCCCTTGGCTTGTGCTGAAGTGGGCCCAAACCTGCCCTGAGGGAGCAAACTCTGTTCTTGGATTAAGTGTGGATAGTGACAATGAAGCCCAGAGTCTCCTCTTTAATTTGTAAGAGAGGCAGGAGACATTTGAAGGATCAGGAACAAATACTGACATTTTACTAAGGACTGTTTTGCTAGTAGAAGGTTGTTATGACTTCACAAAGTGTCCCAGCAGTACCAATTCTGAAGTGGTGAGTTTTCGTGCCCACTGTTTGAGCAGACTGAAAACGTCCTGGCCTCTGCAGGCTCTCCAGCATTTTGGTACATACACTGGATTTCTTTTAGAGAGAAAAAAAAGCTGCATTTGGAACTTGGTCTTGGGTTAAAAAAAACCCAACCCAACAGCAGTATTTTCATCAGCACAACTTTTTCCAAAGTGGAAACCAGCGTAGAAGAGCCAGATGCCGGGTTTGTTGGCGCGCCTGGGACCGAGCTGTCTGTAAAGGGCTGTGCCTCGTGGTTGCAGGTATTACCGGGGTGCTGTCGGGGCCCTGCTGGTCTATGACATTGCCAAACACCTCACCTACGAGAACGTGGAGCGCTGGCTGAAGGAGCTGCGGGACCACGCCGACAACAACATCGTCATCATGCTGGTGGGCAACAAGAGCGACCTGCGCCACCTCCGCGCGGTGCCCACCGACGAGGCCCGCGCCTTCGCAGGTTGGTACCCGGGCAGGGGCATCAGCAACCCGGGGGGCATGGGCCCACCTGCTTTCCAAGCTCAGCTCTCCCCTCAAGAGACCTCAAGGTTTAGGTGGGATATTAGAAAGAGGTTCTTCACCCAGTGGGTGGTTGGGTGCTGGAACAGACTCCCCAGGGAAGGAGTCACAGCACCAAGCCTGACAGAGTGCAAGAAGTGTTTGGATGATGCTCTCAGGCACGTGATGTGACTCTTGGGGATGGTCCTGTGCAGGGCCAGGAGTTGGACTTGATGGTCTTTGTGGGTTTTGACCCTAAAAAAAAAATTTAAGATTTTTTTTTTCTTTTTTTTTAGTTAAAATGACTTGTTAACTTGTGCGTGTGGTTTGGGTTTTTGTTTTTTGGTTGTTGTGTGGTTTTTTGTTTTTGTTTTTGTTTTTTTTTAAATCATTATTTTTGGTTTGGGTTTCTCTGTTGTTTTTTTAAATCTAGCAGTGGTACATGTTTTTGAGACACTGTCCTTGAGCTGGCTGATAGCTGGAGATTAAACACTTCCTCTAACGAGGCTAGAAACAGCAAAGCAACATTTAGAAGAGAAAATGCCACAATAGAAACAAAAAATACCACAACACAAAATATCTTTCCTTCCTTCCTAGAGGCCTGGTTCTGCTGAGTAGATATCAGTGTGCACAGCTGCAAATGAATGCTGAACCTTCTCCTAGATGGGCTGGTTTCTGCTCCAGAGCACTGATGCACAGAGTAGTGTCATCTTCTCCCTTCCTTACCTGTCAGAGCACTGGTCAAATAGTCTTTGGCCCCTAAAGGCCTGGGGACATTCAGCTGACTTTTGTGGGGCTGTCAAGCTTGGAGGTGGAATTTAAAAGTACAACCTTTAAAATACCTCTAGAAATATTACCAGGGCTTGCTTAAACACGCTCTCTGAAGTTTGCTGGTGAGTGAGTATCCTGTGGGTCATAAAACCACTTTAAATTTTCAGATGAATGAGAAGTGACATTTATCTAAGAGAAGCAAAACAAGTTGGTGGGTGCCCCAGATAGCCTGTTAGTTTGGTCACTTGGTTCAGCTTCTTATTTTTTGCCCCTCACTTTCTACTGTGGCTGTTTTAAATTGCTAGCGATGGTCCTGGTGCTGCTGTTTAAGTTCTATGACTGAAACATTTGTCTGTTCCTGGGGAGATGGGACAGAACCATTCTAGGTGTAAAGCTTGGGTGTCAATCACTTTCTTTTCTAATAAAAAAAAATCTTTTGCATTGTAAGAGGAAAGAAGCAAATGGACTGGGTTACAGGGGGTTATTGTGATTTGGCAGTGGGGTCTGGTTAGGAAAGTGTAGGTCTGTTGATCTTTCTGGGGTGGCAGAGGAGAGTTGTGGCTCTGTGGCAGCTGACTTGCTTTTGCCAGGGCTCTTGCTCAAGGTACTCCTGGGTGTGATCTGTAGCCAGAGGAGAATGATATTTTGTGTTGCTTGACTGAGCAAGGGCTGCAGTGGAAAATGTTCTCACACTGTGGGCAAAGGAGATGTTGCTGAAACACAGCAGCTAAATGTGTAACAAAGTGCTCCTTGTGTAACAGGGAAAAGGAAAAACAACTGTGCCCTGGCTGATTTGGCCTAAAAATAAAAACCTCAAAGTAAAGGTGAAATAAAGTGTTATTAAAGTTTTTAACTGAACAACTTTTTATTTATTACAGAAAAAAATAACTTATCTTTTATTGAAACATCTGCTCTGGATTCAACAAATGTAGAAGAAGCCTTCAAGAACATCCTTACAGGTAGGGTTTGTTGTGGATTTGGAGGAGCTCCTGAGGTGGTGGATCTTCTTCATGGGCACATTTTGCAGTTATCTGGAATGTTTTGGAAATGAATGTTGGGAATGATGGTTAGTTTCCAAGCCTTCTAATCTTACCTTTGTGTTCTGCCTCCCACTGCACACATACCTTTCTGCCCAAGGGGAAGGTTACTATCTCCTTATGTTCCATAAATTCAGGCTTTTGCCACAGCACTGTTGTAAAGGAGTAGTAGTAGTAGTTTTGTGCCTGCACAAAATCTCAGCAGTGAAGCCACAGCCATGCTGGGAAGTTAAATGTTCCAGTGTCTTCTCTTGCACCAGAGCAAACTGGTGCTTTTGTCAGACCACTGAACTCTTGTTCTCAGCTGGTGGCAAGGGTTGTAGGGGGCTGTGCACCAACAGCATCTTCTGCAGAGAAGGACCTGGGGGTCCTGGTGGGTGACAAGCTGCCCATGGGCCAGCTGTGTGTCCTGGGGCCAGGAGGGCCAGTGGGATCCTGGGATGCATCGGGAAGAGCTTTGGCAGCAGGTCAGGGAGGGGATCCTGCCCCTCTGCTCAGCCCTGGGGAGGCACATCTGCAGAACTGTGTCCAGGTTGGGGCTCCTCAGGACAAGAGAGACATGGAGCTCCTGGAGAGGGTCCGGGGGAGGCCACAAAGATGACGAGGGGTCTGGAGCACCTCCCTTGTGAGGAAAGACTGAGGGAGCTGGGCCTGGTTAGTCTGGAGAAGAGAAGGCTGAGAGGGATCCTCATCAGTCCATCCAGATATCTCCAAGAGGATGGTGCCAGACTCTTTTCAGTGCTGCCCAGTGACAGCAATGAGCATTGAGGAGCAGTGGCCATAAACTCAAACACAAGAAGTTCCACCTCAACACGAGGAAGAACTTCTTCCCATGGAGGGTGGCAGAGCACTGGAACAGCTGCACAGAGAGAATGTGGAGTCTCCCTCTCTGGAGACATTCCAAATCCACTTGGACGTGTTCCTGTGTCACCAGCTCCCCGTGACTCTGCCTTGGCAGGGATTTGGGCTGAATGATCTCCAGAGGTCCCTTCCAACCCCAATTATTCTGTGATTCTGTGAAGCTGATATTTCAAAGCAGTGTCCTGCTCTGAAAAAAGTAATTGGCAAAGAACCCTTAAAAATCTTATCTGAATAGGAAGAGGGAGATCAGACAGGTGTTGGTTTACTGCTCTATTTCTGTCCACCCCAGGAGATCTGAATCTTGTCTGTAGAGGGGACAGTTTATCTGTGTATTTGTTCTGTCTCCTGAAAAGCTCTTTAAGGTCCATACATTGAACATGAAGAGTTGACAAGATCCAATTCCTTACTAGAGCTGAATTCTGGGCCAATTAACTGTCTCTATAGTCTTGTCCCTGTACACTGTTTTGTGAAGTTGTGCTTGATCCACATGTCCCACAACATCTCAAATTGGGCATTTTCTGAGCTTTCTTTGACCAGATATCGATTTCAGTTAAACAAGAACAGGCCTTTGTTCTGGTTCTACTTGATTATGGAGCAATGTCTGGTCTATGTTGCTTATTGGATGCTGACCAAAAAAACTGGCTTTGCCTTACTTTGATTATGTATCAGTGAGAGTCTATTACTGGAAAAAAAGCTGAGCATTAATAAGGTGAATTCTGAAGGCAAGCTCTTTTGGGATCCCTTTGCAGGGGTGTGCAGGGAAGCACTACAAAGCATTGGGGTCACTAAGTCTGTTAGTAACAGAAATGTGTTGCAATTAGAGGAAGGTCATAGAATCCCAAAATTATTTGGGTTGGGAGGAACCTTAAAGCTCATCTTGTTCCAGTCCCTGTCATGGGCAGGGACACCTTCCACTAGCCCAGGTTGCTCCAAGCCCCGTCCAACCTGGCCTTGGACACTACCAGGGATGGGGCAGCCACAGCTGCTCTGGGCAACCTGTGCCAGGGCCTCCCCATCCTCACAGGGAAGGACTTCTCCCCAATCTAACCCTGCCCTGTGTCAGTGGGAAGCCATTCCCCCTTGTCCTGTCCCTCCATCCCTTGTCCAAAGTCCCTCTCCAACTCTCCTGGAGTCCCTTTAGGGACTGGAAGTTCTCAATAAGGTCTCCCGGGAGCCTACCCTTGTCTAGCCTGAACACCCCTAATTCTGACCCCAAGGTGCCCAAGAAGAGGCAGGCAGGAGAAAAAGGGTAGCCAAGCTGGTTCTGTAAGTAAAGAGCTTGACAGACTAGGAATGGGGTGTCTTTGCTGCCCAGCAAGATTTGTGTTATTAGAGCTCCTGGTGAAGCAACTGGAGAGTGAGGCAGAGCCACTGGTGCTGGAGCTGATTCACTGCTGATCTGGGACCCTTGGCTGGATCTGAGGCAACTTCCCTGGCACTTTGAGATGGTATCCATGGTTTTAGTGCTCTGAGCATAGTTCATCAGTCGCCATCCATCCTGTCTGCCCTTGCAGTGTGGTCCTGAGACTGACCCTGGGTAGAGAAGCTGGCCTGAGGCTGCTCTAGGAGAGCCCTGGTGCTGTGACAGCACTCAAGCTGAGGTCAGGCCTGAACTCAACCCCCTCTCTCTTAGCAGCTCCCAAAAGTGTTGAGATTGTCCGTGTGTGGTTCAGGACTGATTAGTCCTGAAAAGACTGTTCCTAAAGTGTTTACCTGGGGGAGAATCATCCTTCTGAGAGAGGAGAAGAAACTTGGGAAAATGTGCTGTGCAGAGCACTGAGTTGGGAACCACTGCAGCAGACTTGGAGGAGGGAAGAGGGTGGGAACAGTGGGGCAGGAGTTTCCTTACTGGCCACTAGTTTGAGATCACTAAAGACTGGAAGAAAAAACCCACAAAACACCCTAAAGAGGTGCTACCCCAAAGTGGAGGGGGCTTGGCAATGACTCAGAACAGCTTGTGTTCAAATACAGCACTGAGCAGGAAAGAAAGAGGATGTGACTGCCTCTGAGGAGCTCTCCTCATCCCTTTCAGCAAAGAGCTGTAGGCAGCCAGTGGCAAAGAGAATGGCCTTGGGTTAAAGGTTTCCATTTCAAACAACATAGATACATGCAGCTTCTTTTAAAAAAAATAAAAAATAACAAAAACCCACCACAAACCGTCCCTGTACAGTCCCCCATGATTTTTAATCCTTACTAAAGGCTCCGTGTGTTGCTGTTTTGGGGCTGTGGCTGCATGAATGCGACCATAATATTTACCACAGACTTCCAGGGAGGTACTTGCCCTTTTCCTGTTTCACAATGGAGGGAAGTTGGAACGCAGGCTTTAGTCAGTGAAATAAGTAATTTAAAAGCCTTTCAACTTATATTATTTCTGCTAACCGTGCAAGTTGAAATGGTTTGTTTCTGAAAGCTTTTAAACTGGCAGCCTCTCCTCAGCGGTTACAGCTTTGTGGGTCCGTGTGCTTTCAGGCACAGACTAATTTGAGTCAAATGAATTAATTTGGATCAGTGTGGTGTTTTATAGATCCATGTGGCTTTTTACTGTTATAAGTGGGGGAACTGCTTTGTTGCAGAGAGGAGCATTGCTGTTCTTTGGTGGTAGCAGCTTCCCAGCAGCTGAGGTGGGAAGCAGGGAAGTGTCACTGCTGCTGTGCAGGACGTTTCCCAGCATCCTGGTGACTGGCATTTCTAGAGTATGTTTCCCTTTTTTTTTTTTAATCAAAAAGAAGGTGATTCTCTGTTTAGAAATGAGCATTCCTGCTCCTTTCCCATTTAAAACCCCCTTGTTCATGGAGTCATTGAAAAAGACCAGTCTGGGAAGTGCTGTGGTGGAAGACAGTGAGGACTATTGTCTTAATAACTTACCCAGACTGAGCCGGCTTCTCCATTCCAGAGCTGGAAAAGCCAGCCAGATGTTACACATGTCACATCTGGTCAGACTAGATTCCCTGGTTAAATTTTCTCATTCTTGGGCTCTGGCATGCTCTTGGTGAGCCTGGCCCGTGCCCTGCAGGCTCTAACCCCTGTGTTCTCTGGCAGAAATCTACCGCATCGTGTCGCAGAAGCAAATCGCCGACCGGTCTGCGCACGACGAGTCTCCCGGCAACAACGTCGTCGACATCAGCGTCCCACCAACCACCGACGGACAGAAATCCAACAAACTCCAGTGCTGTCAGAACCTGTGACCTTCTGTAGATGACTCTTGTGCCCTTCACTTCGTCTGTGCTTCATTTAGAAACTTGTGTGCACTTCTTATCTCCTGTGATTCAGTGACTCCCTCCTCCCTCCTTTTGCTCCATTCCTGAATCTCCCCTCTCATATTAGAGCTTTAATTGTAGGGCTAACATCCCCCATGCCTCTGAAACCCCTTCCATGTGGTGACTTTTGGGCTTGAAATGTAGTCACTGATCTGATAGACATGTTTGTGTTGGAACATCTGCTGCTGGATATTATCCCATGGAACACTCTTCTCAAATGGGTTTGTTTTGTTTTTGTTGGGCATTTTTTTTTTGAGTTTGGTGGTTTGGGGTTTGTTTTTGTTTTTTCTTTTAGTTGTTGTTGTTTATTTTTGGGAAAGGAACCATGGCGACTTGACTCTAACAGTTGAAGAAATAACTACATTTAGGTGACAAGGTTTTTTCCTCCCATAGTCAGATATTTTTTTTTCTTGTGTTTCTGTAAACATGGGGGAGAAATTAAACTAGCTATCCTACCAAATGCTCTGTTTTCTGTCCTGATAAAGTCTCACAGTGAGGATTTTAGTGGCTGCACACACATAAGAAAGCTGTTGAAAATAACATTACTTATTCTGTAATTACCCCTAATACAGTTAGTCTGGCTGTGTAGTTTACTGTTTCCTGCTTGGGAAATCTTTCTCTATTCTTGTTTTATTTGGGAACAATGAAGTATGTCTGCATTGCTTTCTCTGCCACCATGAATGCCTGTGCAGGCTTTATGAAGTGGCTTAATATTTATTCATAGCTTATGTTAATCAGTTAACATTATTGTACAGTAAGTGCCAGCGTATTGATTTCAGAAACCTTTTGCAACCTGTATAAGTAGGCTTCTTTTGTACTGTAGGTCAGTGTCTGAAAGCAGGATCTGCTCTAGTTCCAGGGTTTTTTGCATGCTGCTTTTTCTCTAGATCTCTCCTGCCCCTGTTTGAGTGAGTGAAGCAATATTTTCATGTCACGTATATACCTGCACTTGTAAGGGTTTTGGTTGTTGTAGAGAAACACGATACTTTATACATTTTGTAAAACTTCTGCAGATCCATAGCATCTGGAATTTTCTCTTCATGATCTTTCACTATTGGCCTCTAGTAAAAATGCATATTAGGATTTCACATAATAACTACTAACCTGTTGTTTTCCTCTTACTGTTTTACTGAACTGCAGACTGTAATTCTTAAATGATTGTACTCCACTGATGTAACAGATTTGTCATCAGCAGGGCTAACTACTCTAACTCTTTGTTGTGCTGAATGGGAAGAATGTTACCACAACTCTGTGTAGTCAGTCTCTTGCTTGCTTGTGCAAATCTTCTCTGATGGCTTTTCATCACTCACTGGCTCTTGCACACTTGCATCCCCTCCGGTATCCGCTGAATGTTCTGGTGGCACAAACTGGGTGAAATGACCTAAAGGAAGAGCTGGAGACCATCTGCTGCTCCCTGAGGGCTCGTGGAGCCGTTTGCAGTGAGTTTTTGCTCTGTATTCTGAGCCTGTACCTCACTGGATGAATCCCAGCTGCATATTAGTGAGTTGATATTTCTTTTCTGATACAAAGCAAATATGAAACTGTGAATTGTGCTCGAAGGGGAAATCTGACATTCCAGTCTCAACTGTTCTGTCTGGTTACGTAATAAAATTAAGGGCGGTTAACTCTGATGGCTTTTCTTTTATAAGATTTCCAGACCAATGCCTTTAATTTTGTACTGTATACACTTGAGAGGGCTGCAGCTCACAGCACAGGATGCACATGGTGCCTGGCACTTCCACTCTTCACCTTTGTTTGGAGGATACATTCAGGGGGAAGGGGTGCCTGCTTGCAGCCTGATCCCCTTGAATGAGGATATGAATTCCTCTTTAGGCATCACAGTGCCCCATCCTAAGGGTGTCCTAGTTTGGGAAGCACTTTCAACACTTGGTATTTACATCAGTAGCATTCTGTTGAGAGAAGGTGAGAATTGGGTTGTCTCCTTTTTGGTGGTCCTAGACCAGAGTATAACATACAGTCAGTGTTTAGACAGCTGGCAGTGAGAGAATGGAAAATTCTGAAATATTGAAAATACTTCATTCAAGAACAAGTGGACACTAGTGGAGCTGGGCTCCTTAATTTTTGAACACACTTTTTATAAAGAAATTACTTGGATAGCATGAGGAGGAATTGTGCTGGTAAGAAGACTCACTAGTTCAGGGTGATGTATTAACATGCTTACTCTGCAAGTCCTGTTCTTAACATGAAGTTTCTAGAATCAGACTGGTCTGGTGTAAGAAGCTGAGAGGCAGTTTAGTCACTTCCTTGTTTCTTAAGAGATTTTCTTTAGCCTTTGACGTTGTGGAAGGCTCTAAACTTTGCCTCAGAGTCCCAGTGAAAGGTCCATGTCTAGCCCTGAGCACAGGGCTGTTCGTGCCAATAGGAAAGAGGAGAGTGGGCCAGTTCTGCCTGGTTAAACCATCTTCCTGTGCACAGCCCAGGGAAAATGCTTTTGATCTGGAGTTCCTGGTGTCTTGCTGAAGCATTGTGCATCCTCAGAAACTCAGCCACAACTCAGCCCACTTGTGGTGGAATTGCTGGAGGTGCCAAGGGGAAGACTTGGAGGAATCCTGAGGAAGCTGGAACTGCTGCAGAGCTGTCTGACATTCAGAGAAACTCTCCAGTAGCCCAGACTCCTCAACTGTGTTTTCCTGATGTGAAAATGACTGGTTACATGTAACCTCACCTGGACTGCTTCATCCTGCAGCTTTGCTGGCTCTGTGTCTCTCAGTATTACTGTCAGGAAAAGAGAAAAGGTTCCATCTCTCTTCCGTCTGCCATAAGGGATTTGAGGGAAGAATTTGGCTTATGTAAAACTCCTGATGACAGGAAAGCTGCCTGTGAAAGGAGGAATGTGTGCTCTGCTTGCTTTACTTGGATGTTGAGAATGACTTTCCTTTAAGCTATTGGAAGATAACACTACAAAGCCCTGGGTCAGTAACACAAACATCAGCCCAAGGCTCCTGCTGGTGTCTAGAACAGGTCCTTTAACACAGAACTAGGCAGGAGTGTCCTGCTGTCTCTCCTGTTAGTGATGGGAAGGATGAAGACCAAAATTCACACATAAAAGTGATTTGGTCCTGAGCACACAAACAGCTAATTGGTAAAATGAATTCCATGGGTAGACTGAATCAATCAGACCTCTTCCTGCTGAGCCAGTGCTTACAGACAGGTGAGTTGGTCTGGGATCTCCACTGAGAGTTGGAGCCTGCACGGGGCAAGGAAGTTTTGTTCACAGGGAAGTTTTAAAGCTCTGTACTTGTAAAAATCCAGTTGCAAAGTGACTGCTTGGTGCTTTGTTAAAGAGATTTTAGTGTGTGCTGTGGAGACCGTCAACATTTGGTAGGAGGAGAAGGCACTTCGGTGCCTTCTTGCCCCTGTGGCAGGTTAGTTCAGAAAGATGGTGCATCCCAGAGATGCTCTTGTTCAGGTGCTGTTCTGTGACCCTCCAATGCATGGAAGGGCTGGGGACAGACAGGGAGCTTTTGGCTGGGCATGGTAGGGGTTGATCTGTGCCTTTATTTGAATCAGTCACTTACCAAAAGCTGTTGGAAAAATGTACAGGAGGTATTTTTGCTCCCTGGTGCTTTGATCTCTGCGTTCTGTACTGCTCCAGAAGACGTGGGTGGGATCTGTTTGTGGCTGGGACTTGCCAGGGCTTGGTGATTGTTTCCCTCCCAAACATGAAGGAAGAACTTGCTTAGAGGTTCTGGACTCTGTGGAAGAAAAGAAGATCCCAATGAAGCAACTCAGTCACTTAGGGAGGCCTCTTTCCTTCATAAAAACCTAAACAAACAGTATTAAAGGTAGGGGCCTGAATTTCAACTAAGAAAAATCAGACAATTGGAGGTGAAGACTAACTGTCCTTCAAGTCACACACAGTGAGCTGGGGCTGAAGGGTGGATTCTCTTGACTTGCAGACTCTTAAATACAGTTGGAAGGTGATTCGTGGAACGTTTCCGTGGAATGACTATCTGCAGGGCTGCACTGTTTCAATAAGTCACAGCAATTCCTATTTCACACTGGTCAGATAATGCTCGGTAGTGTTGTCTGTCAGGCTTTGTAGGCTAAAAATAGCACTGGACCTTTATGCTACCCAGAGGAGAGGTTCCTTTCATTTACTTTTATCCCTGGTTCCTGTGTTAAGTGCAATTCACTTTGTAAATACACACATCCCTCGATTTTTGTGCATGGTTATGATGTATTGTGGACATAAAGATTGCCAAATCATCCCGTGTGTGCGTAAAGTTTCTGTTCCCGGACACGACTGTGGAAGAAGAAGGTGGGGATGGAATTCCGGACCTCCAGGGGCGGAGCGCCGGGTCCGGAGGGCTCTTCCCCGGGGTCTCGGCGGGGAACGGCGGAGGCGGCTCTGGGGGCTCCGGGCGGGGCCGGGGCCGAGCGGGTCCCCCGGGGCTGAGGGGGCTCGGCCGGGGGCGGGGCCTCAGCGAGGGGGCGGGG